AGGCCATACCTACATCTCTTGCAAGGGTTTTTGAAGTTTTGTTTTACTTTTGTTTTAATTAACTGGGACTTTTAAAAGAATTCAGAGCATGACATCTAATGTTTTGGGGTGGTGTTTCCATCAGCTACACAGACCTCACCATGGATCTTGAAGCCATCCACTTCTCTGCATCTCCTATTAAAATCCAACACCAAACCAACCTTCATCTCCCACTTTCAGTTCTACGATACCCTCTTGATTGATTACCTCACGTCCAGCATTCTTTATACATGCTCAGCGTGGTGTTCAGGAACCCTAAATTCCATTGTTCAAAGGATGAAAATCGAAATGTGAATATGACCAGTAGAGTCATCTGTGATCTGCCCCTTTCCTGACTCTCACCTCATTTTCTACCATCCTCTTCTCGGCTCATGGAGTTCCAGCACACTTACCTATCCTCCCAATAGAAATCAACAAATTCCTGTACCCTTTAGGTTCTTACGTGTGCTGTCCCCTTAGACCATCACATTCTCATTGATTTTTATCACCTTTACATTTCTAATTCCTGGTTAGTTGCCTTTAAGTTCAATGAAGACGGGGGCTTTGCTTTTCTTATTCCTACTAATTTATCTTAATTCATCCCATATCAATTCATTACTCCATATTAGCACAATGCCATGCATACACTAGGCCTTCGATTCTCATATGCTGAATGACTCAGTAGCTGATGGAATGAACTGTAAATTCTGCCACCACTGGTACTCACTATTTTCCACTTGACCACTGCCTGAGTCATCTTTTGGTTCTACTTGACACCAGTCTTGTTTTCCCTCACAGTTCACCTTCCAACTACCACTATCATGATCTTTCTAGCAGTGAATCTCATGTCACCACTTTGGACAGAATTGTTCAATGACTTTCCACTAGCCAAAAGTTAAAAGTCTTCAGATTGCCATACAAAGGCCTCTAGTATTTGGTACCCCTTTGGCCTCCCCTGTTGTCATCCCCCTGCCTTACCTGCTGTAGTATAGAATGACAAAGGAAAGAAACAGAAGAGACAAAAATAAAACATCTTAAAGTATTCTAAGGTCCCCACTGCTCATCTCTTGGTTAGTGTACTGCTCTGAGGGCCCTGTGTTGTACTGACTTAATC